TCATCTCGGCTCTCTCATATATTACTAATAAGGCAAATAATATTAAGATTTGTAAAATGTAAGCCGGATGTAATACTTATTATAGATTATAGATGGAAAATCTTTGGCACGTCCAAAGAAATTGTCTGGCATGCAACGTTTTATACGATTTCGTTTCGCTTGAGAAAAAAGATAGTTTTATACGATCTTTTTCTCAATCAACTTTTAAAATTTATTTTAATTAAAATATATTGTTTCATTTATTTAACAATAATTATTTGAAATTTAAAACTTCGGTGCGCTTAATCGTTTTAAAGATTCTACGAATATATGTGTGTACTATCGATGTATGACGTGTACTATCAATATATGGCATGCGGACTCAAAAAGGTTCGTCATTCACGTTAAAAATCAGGCAGGGCCAACAAATCGATTGCAATCGACTGATCAATTGTAGATAATTTGGTCTGATAAAACGAAAAAATATATCACAATTTCCGTAAAAATATAAATATCANTCGGAAAAGCACCTTGCGACGTACAAATTCAAAGTCCACAACAATACAACAAGATGAGGCAATCTTCTAAGACAGCTTAGGCGAACTAAGGTCAGCGTGAGTTCACTTCCTAATGTCCGAAGCAAACTGATCTTCCCGCCAGAACTTCAATGCTTTTATAGGATTGAAACAGCATTGGGGTCCACCAATCAGCATTTACCAGCTCTATAAGACGTCCACCGATGGTCTGATGTCTTTTAACCAATGAGCGGTCGAGTCTTCAAGATGGTCTGATCGCCGTTTCTATGGCAACAACGGTCGTTCGTAAAAAAGGCGGGAAAAGCGTGTGCCAGACGATTTTTTTATCCCGACAGGAAGTAAAATAGGAACAGTAAAATGCACTTCTAACACTCTATGTTTTTATTTTTATGTACTCACCTTTACTTGTGTGTTTCACTTTATTTTTGAAGTCATTTGAATTTATAAATGCAACTCTCAATCTATATTTTAAATTCAAAATTGCATGCATTCTATATTCCATTCTCTTAATGTTTCATCCTAAGATGGCTGCCCAGTCAGTTAAGAATTTTCTATAAATACAAATATTTCTGCTGACAGAGGTTAGAACTTTTGTCATTGAATTCTTTGAACATTTTAAAAATTATTTTCATGATGTCTTTTATACTTTGTCCAAAAATTACAAGTAAAAGTTATTTTTTTATTTAATTTCTGATTTTTTAAAAATTATTTATAATAATAAGGATAAATCAAATGGTCAGTTTATGCATTAGGAATAAAGTTTTTCCAGAAATTAATTTTTTAATAATTACTGTACATATCACAAGAATCTATTGTACAAAGTATGCATATTATGTGAATTGTTTAGGTTATGAAAAATAAAACTATACCTATCTTATGAAACAGTACAAATGCTTCAATAATGAGTGAATGTGATAAATTCTATCAATAATTGATGATAACAGTATTTTATCTATCACTGATATTATGAATGCAACCTAAGTCAAATTAAAAAATAAAAATGTGAAAATGTAATTTATTTAAATTTTAATATTAAAATTTAAAATAGTCATGTTAAACATTCCTTAAATAATATAGCAGAGAAGATGAACTTATACATGAGAAATTTTAATTTACATTTTGAATAAATTAAGGAGAAATGAAGAACAATGAGATACTACTAGATTTTACTGAATCTGTCACATTTTATAATGTAAATAGAGATGATACTATGCAAGGAAAAACAATATAGAAGTGCTTTGTATTATATTTGTTTTTCAAATGGTTGCAACTCAATATTGTAGCTGTTCACATGCTATATCCTTAGGGATAACTGAAATATTCTTTTTAATATTAAAATAATTTATCTAACAGTAGCCCATTGTTTTTACAGTGGTACCTCAGGTTACGAACGCCCCAGCATACGAAATTTTCAGGATACGACATGAAATTCGAACATATTTTTGCTCCACGATACGAACAAAAACTCACCATACGACGTTACATTAGTTCGCATTTTTCATTTGTTTTTCTTACTACAGTTATTTTTTTAAATGTATTACTTGGCTTTAATTTGAGTATGTTTTTCGCGTTGGAACGAATTATTTGGTTTTACATGTAATCGTATGGGAAAAGATGATCCACCTTACGACATTTTCATGATACGATCTCAGTTTCGGAACGGATTAATTTCGTATCCTGAGGTACCACTGTATATTGTATTTTTATTTATCATATGATTTGCCTACATATATAAATCCATACAAGTTAAAAACTGTTTATGCTTATTTTGTAATTATTTAATAGGTAAGAATAAGGCTTACTCTGTATTTTACAAATTTTATTTTAAGTACATTGTCTTTTTATAAACTAAATGAATTATCAATAATTAAGTGCAATATTCAAATAAATAAAATTGATTTTTGTAGAAATATAGATACGAAGAAATGAAACAATTAAAATATCAGAAAAGTATAATATTTTTATGTATATAACCCATAAAAAAATTGTTAGGAAAAAAATAAAAATCTTTGCATAATCATTTTATTGTATATCCCACACCTATGAGAACAGCCATTGTTCCACAGGTGCAACTTTATAATTTAAATCAGCCTGTAACCCACCTCATCACATAACCTGCACCCCTATCAAATTATCTGTCCTTAAAAGACAATCTGCAAGTTATGGTATTTTTGTGTTTGTAATTGCTAAGATAATCAAAATATTCATTGTTTTAGAAATATTTTCTGACTAATTTAGTTTACCATCAGCACATCAAATAGAACTTAGTCTGAAAATATTTCTAAAAGAATGAATAATTATATTAATTAAATTAACTTAGCAAGATACTTTTATGATGATTGAATGTGATTCCAAGTTTGAAAAAAAATTATTTATTGTGACTTCATCACAATGCCAAGCTGCAATTTTTAATCATATTTTTAAAATTTATTTAATTTAAAATATATGCTCTCCACCTCAAATTATTAGTAGTGTTTTTCCCCTGTACATCATCCTTTTCCTTTAACAATAGAGTTGTGCTGGTCGTCATTAACTGCTTTCAGAGGAAAAGTTTTGAATTGAAATAACATGACATCTTGTATGTATAGTCTCAAGAAATTATTTCATTTTTACAAAAAAGTATATGTGATATCTAGTTTGCATCAATGTTCATATATAGTCATTCAGAGCCTGAGGCCCCTAATGTTTCCATATCTGGTTTCGATTTCATCTAACTTCGTTCTTGTTATTAAGGAAAGACAGATGGACGGGTGACCGTGGGAATTTATAGGTCTACAATTTTTTCATTGCAGCCCAATAAAACTTTATTTTAATTAATATTAGTTGTAGTAATGTCACAGTATACTTTATCCTACAAAGAATATGAGGACAAAAATTGTCAAAATATATGTAAATTGTTGTTTAAAAACCCTTTTTGTAATTCTGTTATTTAAAACAGATTTTATGTGATGAAACCAAAAATAGATATATATTTGTAAATTTTTAATTAACTATTCTTATCTACATGAGAAATTTTAATTTACATTTTGAATAAATTAAGGAGAAATGAAGAACAATGAGATACTACTAGATTTTACTGAATCTGTCACATTTTATAATGTAAATAGAGATGATACTATGCAAGGAAAAACAATATAGAAGTGCTTTGTATTATATTTGTTTTTCAAATGGTTGCAACTCAATATTGTAGCTGTTCACATGCTATATCCTTAGGGATAACTGAAATATTCTTTTTAATATTAAAATAATTTATCTAACAGTAGCCCATTGTTTTTACAGTGGTACCTCAGGTTACGAACGCCCCAGCATACGAAATTTTCAGGATACGACATGAAATTCGAACATATTTTTGCTCCACGATATGAACAAAAACTCACCATACGACATTACATTAGTTCGCATTTTTCATTTGTTTTTCTTACTACAGTTACTTTTTTTAATGTATTACTTGGCTTTAATTTGAGTATGTTTTTTGCGTTGGAATGAATTACAGTGGAACCCCGGTTAACGAACGTCCTGGTTAACGACCAAATCGGTTAACGAACTTTTATTTTGCAAAAATTTTGTCTCGGATAACGAACAAAATTCAGATAACGAACGTAACGGTATTTTGTGTCAAATTTTAGTTGGTGTTAGGCATGCGCGAGTTAAGCATTGCTTTNAGCCAGTGTCATAAATTGCCATTAACTGAACCTTTTGCATGATTCTTTAAAAGATATTTGTTGCATTGTATTATCTGTTTATTTGAAAATAATAGTTAATGCTGATCTTTCAAGCTCTTTTTCTTAAAATCTTGTTGCAATGTCAGCATTCACATAGAAATATTTAATAATAAAATGCTCCTACATAAATGTAAGAATAGTACTATTTAATAGTATTAAGTAGTTCATACTTTTTGAGAATGGAAAAAAATGTGTATGTTTTCTTTTATTCTCATCTCATAAATATTTATAACACAATGAAAGAGAACGTGCATTTGTTCATGGTATTCCCAATTTAAAATAAGGTGGCCCAGAAGCATTTTAAATGTTCATTGAAGCTGTATCTTAATTCATAAAAAACGTTTTTATTTTTTAATTTGAGAAGAAAGAGAATGAAGAATATTGCAAAGTGATAAAAGAAATTATGGAAAGTAACCTGAAGTACATTTTTTGATATTATCTGAATATTCTAATAAATCAGGTTATTAATGTTATCATATAAATATGCACATTAACTAATTTACTGTTATTTCGCTTTGCTTTCCCATTCTCACAAAGAATGAAACTGGTCTTTATAGTGCAGCCATTGTTTGCAAAATGTATGTGTAAAAAAACAACATAATTTTCAAAATTTTCACTAATTTTGACCGATTGATGAGAACCAATTAATCATTGGGAAAAAAGTAACTTTGTTCATATTTTAAACAGTTATCTAAATAAATACTGATAAGTTATAATTTTAAAATTTTAATTTAAAAAATTTAATTAAATTTTTAATGATAAGATTTACTTGAAAATAACATATCATTGATTCACCTTATTCATATATATTTATGCAATAAAAAATGGTTCCATTTGAAATATACTATAAATATTGAATTTGCACTTAGAACACAATTTTCCAGCAGTTTCTTAACATCCCATCTATAGTAAGCATCCTATGTCTAAACTGTTCACATTGTAGACTATATTTCGCAGCATCCTTCCCTTATCAAGAGGTTAATGGGAATCCGAAATTCAAATTCTCGAGCGAGCCATGGCAGCCTATATGCAGATGATGAAAATTATGGAGATGCAGAAAACAGAATGCCAAGATCCAGGACAGGATCCGTCCATCAGTCTAATTTAAGGTAAAATCTTTTAATAATTTAAATTTATCGCAAAATGTAAACTATAATCTATCTGTTGGGGACATTGAAAGTTGTTAAAACAAAAATATAAGAAACATTATATTATTTTTCAAGATAACTCAATTAATAAAACCTGAAAGTTTCAGTAATTGTTCCATAATCTAATATAACAAAAATATTTAATTAAAAATTTTTTCTTGTGTTTTTAAACCTATAGCTTATAATTCATACTCTGGTGTAACTACTATAATTTATTTTTATTAAAATGGTATCTTTTGTTGTTGTGAAATTAATCATTTTGATATATAAATACTAAGTACATAGGCAGAGAGAACAGATAAAATTGCAGAAGCATAACAAAATATTTAATTAAAAATATAAATTTTATACAGGATAAATAGAACAGATATCAGCACTCTGGATTAAGTTCATATATGACAAATACTTCAGTAAACCCTGAATTACAACTGTTTCAAAACATACAAATTACTAGAGTGATAATCAGCAATCTCGTACAATTAGTTACTTACAAATTAATACACACCAAAAGTGACCAAATCCTGAAATATAAAAATTTAGGATGTGAAACCGAGCATTTCAACATGAGATCAGATGAGTCACATCACCATCCATAACAAATGTTACAAACAACCAATGAATATTTTACTTATCCATATGCTTCTTTACAATCCAAAATAACAACCTGCAGCTATGGCAACAATGAATAATTATGGCTCTGAGTTTAGCTTTGTTTGCTTTAATCACCTTTTCTTAGCTCAGATAATTAGCAAAAACCATCAACTTCCAACTCTTTTATAACTGATCTGCACAATTAGATATTAAAATTTTTATGCTATAACTTGTATGCAATTCTTCTTTGACTTACAACTCATGCAATGAATATTGACTATTTTTGAATATAATTATGAAAAAATCCAAAATTGGGACTGTCCTGCCTAATTTGGAACATCTAGTCACTTTTTACATACTATACTAAACTAATACTAAAATTAGTTGGATTAGTAATGGACAAAGAGAGAGAGAAAAAGAAATTTTTAAACCTGAGTTTGGTAACAGTGACTGGCCACTTAACAGGGTCAGTGTCTTCATTGTGAATATTCAATATAAATAATGTCAATCAAGTCAAACTATCAGTCAAATTATATTAAGATTCACTCACAATCAGAAGACCTGAGACATGTGGTGTTATAAACTATTTCCTTTCTTTTTTTATAAAATGACTCCTCCTTGTTAGCATTTCATCTATTCATTCAATCATTGCATGTCCATACTCTTTCAGCCTTCCAGATCATACTGCCTCTTGTTTTTTGTCTTTTCCCCACAATCAGGTCAAACAAGTTTTCACAGACAGAAGGAATAACTAAACTATATTGGATCCAGCATAAAATAAGATGGACAGAAGTGACAATATAAAAGAGTGGGGAAAAAAGAAGAAAATTACAAACTAAATAAATCTACTTACTAGAAATTTATTTCAATAATCATTAAATATTTAATAGTATTGCTTTTTTCTTGTATTTTCAAATTAAAAGACTAACATTTTATTAATACAAATTAGAAATAAGTAACTTCCTGATATAAACAATGATTTGATTTATATTTTTTTTTTATTAAACATTTTGAATAATTAATACAGGTAAAAGCATATACCACAATTATTAACTCAAAAAAGAAGTTCACAAATTTTGTTCTAAAATAATTTTTAACACAAATTATTCATACTGTTACTCTTTCATAAAAATTTTTTATATACTTTGTAGCATTGAAAAGATAAAACATGGCGAAGAAAAAGATTGGAAAAGATCATTTAGTTTTCTTCGTACAGGAAGTAGTAGGAGGAGGAGAAAAGAGCACAATAATAAGGTAATATAAAATAATCCTTAAATATGCATGAAATATTTTTGCATGTTGTAAATTAATAGGGAAAAACAATTTTTCATGAATTTCATATGCAACTGTATTGATATTGATATTGTGATTGGTTAAGAAAACACAGTATGTTTTTTACTTGGTTTTTTTGCAAATTATAGATCATAATTTATGTATGCCACTGTATATTTTAACAACACTTCAAAAGCATTGAAGTGTTGTTAAAATATATACACTTCAATGCTATTGAAGTGTATATATTTTTTGTAAGTACATGCTCTTCGAGCATGTACTTACATTATAGATCTCTAAAACACCTCTACATTATAGATCTCTAAAACACTCAGTAGATATATTGTACATGCTCTTCGAGCATGTAAGTGTTTTAGAGGCTGACTGATATACTGTGTAACATGTGTTGGTGTTACAGATGTGTCGTTCTCTCTTGCACAATTTTATATGCTTAAGATACTGAGGAAAGGTTGGGATATATTGCACCAACCTGAAATGCATATGTAATTTAATTTAAGAATAAAATCATAGTTCCTAACCAAAAATTTGCTGCGAGTTCATCTACCATAATTTTTTTTGGATTACAGAGATGTTTTACATAGATATCTAATATACAGAAATCGAATTTATATTGTGAAAGACAACAAAAACAAAAAATAGAAAGTGTACAAAAACATGGTCAGATAGTACATAGACAATACTTACCAGATAATAGGAACCAGACCACATGAAAGACAAGATCATTACTGCACTACTGTATTCAAAGAACCCATGAACAACAAAACTATACCTAACTGGGATCAAACCACCCTTGTAATATGTGATGCAGGGCATCTCTCAGTCAGAACTGCAGAAGAGTCAGTTGTCATGAAGATCACTATCATAAACAAGAGAAAAGAGAACAATTCTCTCAACTGACAAGTATGGCTTGAAAATTTGATAACCAACAAGTGGCCTAAGAAATATCCCAAATAACAGATTGGTTTCTTTAAAAACATGTTCTCCTTACACTATAGAATCCAATGCTACATATATTATTTGACCCAAATTTAGACAAAGCTGTGAGTAGCAGGGGGCCACTGGGTTGAATCCTAATGACCACTTAATCTGCACAGGCCTAATAGACCCGCTCTCAGTTGTCGGATGGCTTGTTTTGTCGGATGACACCAATATGTGCAAACCGAGGGGATAGAACAAGAGTTTCTCCCACTTACCGGCGCGTTGTCAGAGAGTGGCTATAGGAGGGCAAAAGGAGTGGGAGGCGTAACGANTTAATCAGAAAATTCAAGAAATTTATTCGAAATTTATTTATCTAAATTCAATTTCTATTTCAGTTATGCAACTACCTTGATATTTATTTTATTGTACTTTATCTACAATAAAGTTCAATAACACTTTTTATTTATACTTTATTCTCTTTGTAGGCACTTAAACAGCTTTTTATCATATTCATTACGAATTCGGTCATGTCTATACTGGAGCGGTTAGATGGCATAATGAGAAATGGATCTGACATATCCAAGCCACTACAAAAGAAAAATCCATGAGGTTCTGACAGCCCCGAATTCAAACCTGGGATTGTCAGAACTCAGGAAAAATTTTTGTCAGAAGGTGTGCACTTTAACCATAGAAACAACTGCCAAATTATGAGTATCAGACTGCATTTGGATCGATCATCTATGAATCATTAACCAGATCCACTCTCAGTAATAGACTATATCAACTTATGGTAATTAAGGTGGACGTAAAATGGTTAATAACTTACGGCGGGCATATTAACTGGCTCAAATAGAAAATTAATTAACATCAAAAAATAATATATTTAATAGAATTTTATTACAGTTTTAAATTATACACTTACTAAAAATTTTATAATAAAGAAATCTGTTTTTCCTACTAAAATTTTAATTATCGAATCAATTCTATTGACATTTTATTAAATAAATAATAATTTTTAACTATGAATACGTTAAAACTCTTTTATTTTTTAAATTGAAATAAAAATTTGAGAGGTTAAATAATGAAATATTTCACTTTACAATAAATATTCGTATATTTAGAAATTTAAATATTGATACAGTATGTTCGATTTCTTTCGTGTAAATTTACTCCCTTAACATGAATTACATAATTATATTCCTTATAATTATATTTTTAGTTTATAAATTTTCTATTTTTAATTAAATTAATTTATTTACATCATATATTAAAACCATGATTATTAAAACGGTTTAGAAATTTATAACTATACGCCTCAATAATCACAAAACAATTATTTCATAACGGAAACCATAACTGAAATTTATGTTATCTAAGATATTTCTTTTATTATTAAGAACTGAAGCAGTTNACTTCAAAAGCATTGAAGTGTTGTTAAAATATATACACTTCAATGCTATTGAAGTGTATATATTTTTTGTAAGTACATGCTCTTCGAGCATGTACAATATATCTATAATATATTGTAATATATCTATAATATATTGTAATATATCTATAATATCTAAATTTTTTTTGTAAGTACATGCTCTTCGAGCATGTACAATATATCTATAATATATTGTAATATATCTATAATATATTGTAATATATCTATAATATCGAAATCTATAATGTAAGTACATGCTCTTCGAGCATGTACTTACATTATAGATCTCTAAAACACCTCTACATTATAGATCTCTAAAACACTCAGTAGATATATTGTACATGCTCTTCGAGCATGTAAGTGTTTTAGAGGCTGACTGATATACTGTGTAACATGTGTTGGTGTTACAGATGTGTCGTTCTCTCTTGCACAATTTTATATGCTTAAGATACTGAGGAAAGGTTGGGATATATTGCACCAACCTGAAATGCATATGTAATTTAATTTAAGAATAAAATCATAGTTCCTAACCAAAAATTTGCTGCGAGTTCATCTACCATAATTTTTTTTGGATTACAGAGATGTTTTACATAGATATCTAATATACAGAAATCGAATTTATATTGTGAAAGACAACAAAAACAAAAAATAGAAAGTGTACAAAAACATGGTCAGATAGTACATAGACAATACTTACCAGATAATAGGAACCAGACCACATGAAAGACAAGATCATTACTGCACTACTGTATTCAAAGAACCCATGAACAACAAAACTATACCTAACTGGGATCAAACCACCCTTGTAATATGTGATGCAGGGCATCTCTCAGTCAGAACTGCAGAAGAGTCAGTTGTCATGAAGATCACTATCATAAACAAGAGAAAAGAGAACAATTCTCTCAACTGACAAGTATGGCTTGAAAATTTGATAACCAACAAGTGGCCTAAGAAATATCCCAAATAACAGATTGGTTTCTTTAAAAACATGTTCTCCTTACACTATAGAATCCAATGCTACATATATTATTTGACCCAAATTTAGACAAAGCTGTGAGTAGCAGGGGGCCACTGGGTTGAATCCTAATGACCACTTAATCTGCACAGGCCTAATAGACCCGCTCTCAGTTGTCGGATGGCTTGTTTTGTCGGATGACACCAATATGTGCAAACCGAGGGGATAGAACAAGAGTTTCTCCCACTTACCGGCGCGTTGTCAGAGAGTGGCTATAGGAGGGCAAAAGGAGTGGGAGACGTAACGAAGTCGTGATGAGATGTCGATAGTACTTATCAAGAGTCATTAAATTAGGAATAACATATTTAATATAAACTTAAAAATAAATACAAATACATTAAAATTACACATTACTTCTAAACCAGGGGTGTCCAACCCGCGGCCCGCGGGCCGCATGCGGCCCAAGGCAAGTTCCAATGCGGCCCAGTAAACGTGTAAACAAAACCGAAAAATGTTTTAATTTTTTTATTATTTATTTATTTCAAGGTTATAAACTCAAAAAAGAAGTTTCACAAAGCCGTAAATCTTTATTCATATTTTATTTTTGAGTGGAAAGAAAATATTTTCAAATACTTGGAGATGTGTGAATGAGAAAAAATTACTAAATAAAGCTGCAGTTGTAACTCAAAGGATTAGACACCCTAATTTGGGGAAAGGGGAGAAATGCGAGAAATGCCAAAAGATAAAAAGTAGTGAGGAAAGTTAAATAGATCTTCTGTTATGCAAATATTGATGTTACTGTGAATAACCGATATCTGGTGAATTCACACAGTCGTTTTCGTGTATGTACGAAATATTTGCTAAATATCATTATTTCTCACTTACACCTGATGGTGAATGTTGAATAAAAATATTTTTATTACGTTAAGGCAAAAATGCAACATTTTAATATGTCAAAATAGGAGAAAGCTTAAGTAACAGCACATTTAAATAAACTGTTGAACCTAAAACGAACATAACATTCTTAATCATTAAAGAAAATAATACAATAATAAACTTACACATAAATTATGTGATTATCGTTATACAGTCTTATTTATTGCAACAATTTAAACTGTTATGGCACTTTGAATTGCACAAGAGTCCCTTGCTTTTACAACTGCATTTATTCGTGGAACACTTTTTTTGCAATGACAGCGTGTATAGCCTTGCTCTCCACTTTTCGAATTAGCTGCAGCTGCTTCTCTCAGCGATATTTCCTGAAAAGAAATCTCATCTATAGAAAGTAGCTTTTCTTTACAAACTACGAACTGATTACGTTATTACGTGATTACGAACTAATCTGTTAATTAATGGTGTCTTTTATTCGGATATCGCCGACGCCTTACCGATGACCCCTCTCATCCTCCGCCGCTCGATCTGACAAGCCGATCCCCATCTCACGGGATCGAAAGACCTTGTCCTACCTCCGGCCACTCACAAAGGATTTGGCGACAGACTGTCGCCTCTCTGTCGACATTGGCTTCTCGGGTGTGGATTCGACCTCCACCAAAGCTTATCTGTGCTTGTCGACATACACCGGCGATTGTTCGAATATATAATAATATAACCAAATATTTGGACTTTCACCGATGTATTTTGTATTATTCGGACATTCAC